CAGAAAGGACCAGTCTCTAGTTTATATTTTAGTTTTGGCTTCGTTTTTTGAGACAGGGTCTCGCTATGTAGCTCAGGCTGGCCTTGAACTCATGGTTGTCCTCCTGTATGAGCCTCTTAAATGCTGGGGTTACAGGCGTGCACACCACACCTGGCCCTGAGACAGCTGGAGATTAGGATCCTCAGGAGGCCTCTGGAAAACTGTAGCTGCTGAGTGTCAGAAGGAACCAGCATGGGCCATTCGGATAGATCAGTGGATTAAAGCACCTGCTTAGGCAGACACAGGACCAGGCTTTGATCCCCAGCCTGCTGTGCCAGCCCTACCCCCAGGGCACAGAGAGATGGCGATTGAGACTGGGCGTGGTGGTGTGCCAGTAATCCCAGTGCTTGGGAGGCTGAAAAGCAGAAAGGATCACTAGGAGTCCAATCTGTGTAGCGAGACCCTATAAACCCCACAGACCCTGTCTTAAATACATGAAGAAGAAGAAGAAGAAGAAGAAGAAGAAGAAGAAGAAGAAGAAGAAGAAGAAGGAGCTGCCAGATGTGATGGGCAAGGATCCTCTGCTGAGCTCCAGGGCACAAAGGGTACATTGGGAGACCCTGTTCTGCCTGGAGAGCCACAGCTAGAGCCTTTACTCCTGGCCAGGCCCCAGCTGGGAGCTTTGTGGAATCATCTCACCAAGTCCTCCAGCCACTCTAGGAGGAGGAGGTGCACCTGCTGCCCCCACAGTTTATAGATGGGCAAGCACACTGCCCAAGACGACACAGCTACATAGTAACATCAGGGTGCCAGCCAGTCTCTCTGGCACCAGGCCTCATCATCATGTACCTGAGTCTCCACTCCCCTCATGGGAATCCAAAGACCAAAGGCCACCCTATTCCAAACACCTACCCCTGCCAGCCTACAGTTCCATTAGACACACTTCAGAATGAAAGAGTAGCAGCCAAAGACCCCGGAGGGTCACGCTTGGAGTGCCTGCCATCCTGGTCTTCTAAATATGTACTTCTAGTCATGACATACCATTTATTGCCATAATGTCTCTCAAGTAAAGGGTTTTTTTGTTGTTGTTTTTTTAAAGGGTGATAAATGGAAAAAAAAAAAAAAAAGGTCACAAGAGTAAGAAAAAAAAATGCCACAGGTCTGTCCTGTTAATTCTGTATATGGTTAGATTTCTAAACTTCTTCATAAAATTATGCAAATGTTTATTTCTACCTTTATAAAATTATTTTTCCTATATATTCTGCCAGGTCTTAAAGTTCAACATACCAATATTTGATGGAAAATACCTGTTCCAGGATATGCCAAAGATGTTTGATATTTAGACAGATAGGGTACACTGAACTGCATATATTGCAGGTTAATAATAAGCTTCTCTTCTGCAGGATTAACAACCTAAGTTAGCAGCTCAAAATTGAAGAAAAGGAAGGGCTGCAAGGTCAGCCAACATTTTGGCCCTAGCCTTTCAAGTCAGTGAAGACTCAGGACATAGGAGAACCTGTACTGTAACAACATGTAACTCAGTTGCGCTCCAAATTTTCTGATCAAGAAGATCATGGAGCCACAGAGGAATGTGATCAATGATGTACAGTGTGCCTGGGGAGAGTCACATGGAGAGAAAAAACATTCTCTCAGGCTTACACAGAGAGCAAATTGGTCAAGCAATGGCTATGACTCATCCTCATGGCTGACACTGACAAAGGATCTACAAAGTGCGGTACAGGGCTACAGGATAAATCCTGACCTTATCAGATACAAAAGTTACATTTCTTGCTATACAGGTCTTGCTTTATCTTGGTCTTAACCACCCAGAAGAAAAGTATAAAAACGAGGTATATAAAGTAAATCCATAGTAATACGATGAGCTGTAAAAGGCTCAAGTCACTAACTTCTGAGGATAACCCACTAATATTATAGACTGCTAGACAGTGTTAGATTGTTTAGCTGAATTCAAGCACCTATAGTATTTAGATGCCAATAGAATATTCACCTCTGACAGGACTAAACAAAAAAAAGGGGATACAAAGGAAAGATCATTTTATACAAAATAATTAGGATAGATATGCAGCTACCTTCGCTTAACTCAATGAGAAGAAAGAGGTATACTAACAGTGTTTGGACAGGATACCCTGTCTGCTTCTTGTACTATGGATAACCACTAAGAAGATAACAATGTACAATGTATTGATTATTGAAACTGTCCTATTAATCAGCTTTGAAACTGTCTCATTCATATTTATTTCTCAATAAAATAAAAATAAAAAAAGACCCTGGAGGGCACCGAATGTGACAAGTGTTGGCAGGGCCTGAGCCTGGAGTCCACGGGAGGGGAGCATCTTAGCAACACTCCAAGATGGCTCTAGGAGTTGCTGCCAAAGCAGAACTGGGCAAGAAGTGACCAAGGGACCTCAGAACCTGTGCTAGGTGCCCGCAAAAAGTAGCTCCCTGGGCAGTTGCCCAGGGCCAGGAGGCTCCCGAGACAGCGTCTCCGCAAGAGCCCCAGGCGCAGGGACGCCCACAGCTACAGCTCTGCGCAGTCCTGCTCCCAGATGCAGCTCAGGCCTCAGGGCTCTGGCGCTCCCGGGCACCCAGCTGCTCTGAGAGCTGGGGATGCGCCTCCAGAGGGAGCAGCACGCAGCTGCCGCCCAGCGCCTGTGCTCTCGGGTTGCCTGGTGAGCGGGAGCCCCGGGGATGGACTCAGAGGGGCTGGGTTTTGAGACAAGCAGATGTCTGCAGAGGGGGAGGAGGCTGTCAGCCAGCTGCCCGCAGCTCCTGCTTCTGAGCTCGTAGAGAAGAGGCAGACTGCGGAAAGGCTTTCCAAGGAAGGGAGGCAGTCAAAGGTCCCTGCTCAAGGGCCAAGCACAGCCAGCAGGGGGAATCTGTGCAGCCCACTCTCGGTGCTCCAGAAATCAAAATATTAAAACAGCATGTTTCTACACAGTGAGGCACAGAACAGACAAGAAGCCCTGCCTCCATGGGGCTCGTGTTCTATTGGGAGAACAAGAAATGAACAATAAAAATATGCAATGTGCAGCCGGGGAGATGGCTCAGTGGAATAAGCACTTCCCTGGCAAGTACAAGGGCCTGAGTTCAATCCCCAGTTCCACCAAAAAAAAAAAAAAATCACAATGTGCTAAAAGGTGATCCCCTGAGAAGGGATATGAGAGAGGAGGGAGACGGGGGTGCTGGGGCACGGGGCACAGGGAGCAGGCTGAATTTTGGATGGCATGGCTACCGACCTCACCACAGGCACTGAACAAAGGCCTGAAAGAGGCTCAGGAAGAGTGAGCTGTGTGGATAGCTGAGAAGGAGCCACAAGTGCCACGGCCCTGAGGCAGGAATAGGCCATGGCTACAGCAGAGCGACGGAAGTGGCGAGACAAGAGGATATTTGGGTCTCAAGACTAGAGCAAGGACCACAGCTTCACCAGGGGCCAACACTCTGGAAACTGTTGAGCAGAGGAGGGACATGATCTGCCTCTTGTCCTAAACTCACTCTTGCTAGGGTGTGGGGAAGGCAAAGTAAACCGAGCAACCCCGCTCTTCCCACCACCGCCCTCACCACCACCGCCGCCCTCACCACCACCAACCACACTAGCAACCACCAGGCCCTGAGCCTGTCCGGGTCAACATTACCTATTTTATTGTTATCATCTCGTTTATATCCCACAACAACCCTGTACAAAGATGGCGGCTGAGGAACCGAGGGTAGGCCAAAATCAGAAAGTTACTCACCTCCCTCCGCACTCCAGCCCTGTGCAACTATCCCGCTCTGCTTCCCAGCCTTCTCTGCTCACCTGACTCACCCTCCACCCCAAGCAACTCAAGGCCAGCGCTTACGCACCTGGACTCCTCCAGTATTCAGTTTTGCCCCCAGGTGGGACACAGGCTCAAGTCCAGGTAAGACCGTCATCCTAGGAGAGTTCCAAGTTCTCCAGTGCAATTTTAATCTGAGTGACATTTCCTTTGTGCACGTTTACCTGTGTGATTACCCCACTGACCTTGGAGAGAAGTACACAGAGCCTCAGACGCATGGGGCTACCATGCTTTGGAGAACACTGTTCAAGTCAGAGGAGGAGATGCACCATGCTGAGGGAAGCTTCAGTGTTTAAAATCACCACTTCTAAGGACAAGCCCTGCTCTGCCAATCTGGGGCTCAATGGGCAGGTTATGCGGCGTGGGCCTTCCTGTGTTCACCTGCAAACTCGGACAAATGTCTCCTTTGGTGGACTTTGTGAGCACTGGAAGCAGCACAAACACAGTGCCTGGGCCTGGGGTGCCCTTGGAGATGCCATCAGTGCCAGTTCAGCCAGTGGACCTAATCCTAGGTCTGTCCTAGACCTACATGAGCATTTGGCCAGTGCTCTTGGGAAACCTCACACTCCTTTGGGACTTTTGCATCATAAATCCAGAGTCTCGCCCCACCTCCAGGCCCAGCTCTGAGGCAGGGCCTACAGCTTCTGGCGGCTGTCTGCACCCTGAGCGCTCCCCAGAGCGCCCTCCCTTTCAGCAGCGGCCTGGCGGTCCCCACTGCCAGAACACGGACACTCCTCTCCCGATCACTGCGCGGCTCTGCTGTTGTGCAGCTCTTCCGCCTGGCCAACCTTGTCTCACCTCCAGCACACACTAAGGAAGAGGTGCAGGGCAGGTATGGCTCTTTGGGGAAGGTGAGAAGACACACCACAGCAACAAAGCGGATCAACAACGAAGGATGCTGTTCGTGCCAGAAAGCAGCTTTCTGGCCTTTCAAAGTACTGCGATCTACCAGCCTAGGGAGGATTTAGAAGTCCAACTCCCTTACTTTACAAACGAGAGGCAGAGAGGGTTAGAGCCTCGGTTAAGGCTACACAGCGCAGCAGGTGAGAGGAGCAGGGAGCCTGCTAGAGCTCTGGACCTGCTGTGACAGGGGCTCGGCTTGAGCTGGACGAGCCAGCAGCAGCTGAGAGCTCTGTTGAAGCCCCTGTTTCTGCTTCCCTGAAAAGAACATCACAAAATCTTTCCAACCTCAACCCCAGCAAAAATGAAACAGCTTCTCCTGGCCGCTTTCTTCTGCGGCTCCACGGAAGCCATGGCTCCGGTCCTTGGCAGCTGCTACCTCAGCTGACGGAGCTTCACACTCACGCTCTCCCGCGCCTGCTGCTGCTTCACCTGCTGCTCGCTGCTGTGCGGAGGGCGGCAGGGCACTGCAGGGCCGGTGTGTACCTAAGGCGGGAGGGGGGGGAGGGGAGGCCAGCGGGGAGGAGAGGCCAGCGAGGAGGAGAGGCCAGAGGGGAGGAGAGGCCAGCGGGGAGG